CATGAGCGTAAGGCCTGTGCTGAGTGGAGGGGAAAAGAACAGAGAGTTGGTTCTTGCCATCAAGCATCCTGGAGAGGGGTCCCGGGGTCTGCATGCACGGTGGAGGGCACAGGAGAGGAACGGATTGGGTCTGAGGAGTGTCAGGGAGAATCCATTCTCCCGCCATGTGAGAACACGCCTCGAAGTTCAGCTCTTCACCCTTTACGAAGGCCAAGCCGACTCACAGGGTTTCACCGCCTTGCCCGGGCAGATGCTCCGGCTCTGGGTGCCGAGGACCAGGCTTGCCGCATATGCTCTGATCACTTTGAACTTAGGGATGCAGCCAACGAACTCTCCCACATCCTCCCAGACTGGCTCCCACCGCAGCCGATCCTGTCTGGGTTACTAGTTCTCGTTCTCTTGCTCCCTTCGGACTCAACTTCTACTTTCTCTCGTTCCCCCCACGTCTTGTCTGTCACCCAGGCACGTTCTGCTTCTTACTTGATGTCCCTCTGCCCTGGTCGAGCCCCTCCTTTCATTCCTGCTGTCAGGCATACTCTGTCTTCTGCAAAGCCTCTCTGGACCACCCCAGTCAAAAGCAATGTCGCCCTCCTCTGGATTCTGATAGCTCTTATTATTTGTCAGTTTCTCACCTGGCATTTGTTATAGACTCCCTTGTATAGTTCTTTCTTTTTTTCCCTTGTGTTTGTGCCTTATCTTCCACATTTTAGAAGTCCAGTCCTTTGTATTATATACTTGCTGTATTGTCCACAGCCTTCAGGAGAAGGTAGTTCGTAACTGTTAGGTACTTGATTGATCACATAGCCAAGGGGCCGCATAGCAGGAATTGGGGGTCTTTGAGATCCTGCACCCTGGAGTCTGCACGGGCTGGTGAATGATTTCTCCCTTCATGCCTGTGAAGCATTTAGAAAAAGTGAGTCATCGCCATACCCAGATGTTCTGTCTTATTAATTATCAGTATGAGACAACACAATTTGTTCTATGGAAGACAAGGGCCTATAGGAAATCTGGCCTATTTTGGTTGACAGCTTTCAACTCGGCTGAAGCAAAGACTAAGAATAGGAGGGTTGGCCACATCTGACTCCATTAAACTCCGGAAGAATACAGCTCGGCGGAAATGATTGTCCGTCTTTTTGCTTTTGGATCATGGGTTTCCTACTGTTTCTCATTTGCTCACACGGCCCCATATGTAGAAACTTACCTATTTGCAGACACCAAAAGGGGAGAACAATTCATGCTTTTCCCAGTAACTCTAATGATAGAGGACTATCAATCAAGCAAAAACAAAGTGACTTCTTCGTTCAGAAGGCAGGATAACCCCAAACGGGAAACACATTAGAATGCATCTGCAAGTTGTACACACCCTGACCTATTAGTTCTGGTAACCCTAAGGAGTAAAACGTCCGCACGACTGGTGTGTGCTGCTTAGCTCAGGTCGGGGCAGATTATTAGCCGCCTGGTTTATCACGGCCCAGAACGGTCCCTTGCCATCGGCAGGAGGCCACAATGGGAACCGGATGGCAGTGATTCCTGTGGTGCCTATGCTGCGCCCTACTGTGTGTGGTCGAATCTGTTCATCCATGTAACGACACAGTGTCAGAGTGGTGCCAAGGCCGAGCGGCCTTAAAAACGCCCTCTTTGCTGTTATAAAACCAAGAAGTTACGGGCTGTGAAAGCTTCCATGGCCGTTTTCATCCCAGAAAACCTGAAGGACTGAGGTGAGGGTCTTGGCTGTCTAGGTGCAAATGAAGTTTTGCCTTTATTTTCTCATGGGTGGAAGCCCGTGTCCAGGAGCTGAGGTGCGCCTGCTCCTATCTGTGTCTTCCTGTGGCATGGCTGGCTGACCTCAAAGGTCGGGGGTGGGTCTGCCACCTGGCTTCCACTCCAGAGAGAGAGAATGTGCGGAAAACGCGACAGCTGGGGGCAGCTGGCTCCTCATCTCTGGACCCTGCTCACGGGCTTCTCTTGTGGCTCAGCTGGGACCATTTTACAACTGTTGAGTTAAGCATTTCTCTTGTTTTTTATTTTTATTTGTATTTTTTATCCTCATTTGAGGACATGTTTTTACTGCTTCTAGAGAGAGAGGAAGTGGGGGGGGGGGAGAGAAACATCAATGTCAGGGAGAAACATCGACCAGCTGCCTCCTGTACACACCCCAACTGGGGATCAAACCCGCAGCCTAGACATGTGCCCTGACTGGGAATGAAACCCACAGCCTTCCGGTGTGCAGGACAGTGCTCCAACCAACTGAGCCACCTGGCTAGGGCTCTTGTTTTCACAATGGGAGAAAAAAAAGGCGGGAGATCCCATAACCAATTCCTTGTCTTTAGTCTCTTAACATTTTTTATTCCCTGGTGTTGGGATAAGACACCCAGAGTGCAAAGCTGGTGATGTTTTCTGCCTGGCTCAAAACCCACCCATGGTTTCTTCTTGCTTGTAGGAGGAAGTCTGAATTTCTTAGCCTTGATCTTCTCATGGCCTTCCATGGTCTGACTCCACCCTTAGCTACTGCTTTTTCACCTTCCATGCCTCTTAAATCCTGACGGAAGTGGTCCGCCCACCATTCCCCCTGCCCTCCCACACTGCTTTCTCTGGGGCTTTGCTCAGGCTGGACACCAATCCCTAAAGTTGTTCGTCCTACCCATCCTTCCTGACCCATCCCAGAGCCACTGTTTTCTCCTCTATTCAATGGGACGATAATGGAAACTTCCTTATTGATTTGTTAGATGGGTTAAGTGACATAAGACCTGCGAAGCACTTGGAGCGGCGCCTGGCCCAGGGCAGGCTCTCAGCAAGGGGTCGTCGTTGTCATTCCTGCAGCTGATTGGAACCCTACAGTCACAGAGGGGAAGAAGTGTCCCCCAGGCAGCCCTGCCAGTGGCTTTGAGAAGGAAGAGTGAGCGCTGCCATGGAGATTGGAAGGGAAGGACCAGAAAGGTGGACTATAGATGCAGGACACAGGGAGTTGACGTGTCTGACCACCGTCCACCCCCAGGGGCTCCTGGGCGTGCCAGGCTCCGAAGCCGAGGGGCCTGCAGTTGACATTAAGATGCTGACTGTGCTGCCTCAGTTTCCCTGAGATTGGACCATAGCAAGCCCTGCTATAGATGCCCCGACCTCGTTTTCTAGTCCTCCGGATCACTGCACTCCCCAAGGGACCGGGGCAGGGGCACGTGTCCCCTTCCCTGGAGATCCCGCCACCATGTCTCTTGTGATGTGACTCACGCATCGCCCTGGCCAGGGTCCCTCCGTCTAAACTATCTTTTGCATATGTGGTAAAATACACATAACATGAAATGCACCCCTGTCACCGTTTTCAGTAGCGTTAAGAACATTTACGTTCCTGGGCAGCCATCACCGCGGTCCATTTCTAGAACTTCTTCGTCTTGCAAAAGTGAAACTCTGTGTCCGTTAAGCAATAACTTCCCTTTTCCCTTTGTCCCAGCACCTGGCAACCACCATTCTACTTGATATTTCTATGAATCTGACTATTCTAGGAACCTTACAGAAGTGGAATCATACAATATTTGGCCTTTTGTGACTGTCTTATTTTTACTTAGCATAATGCCCTCAAGGCTCATCGCGTGTAGCATGTGTCAGAACTTCCTTCCTTTCTGAGGCTGAATAATATCCCATTGTACGTATAGACAGCAATTTGCTTTCCATTCATCCGTCAGTAGACACTTGGGTTGTTTTTACCCTTTGGCTATTGTGAATAATGCAGCTATAAACAGGGCCTACAAATATCTGTTTGAGTCCCTGCTCTCCTATCTCTTGGGTCTATACCCAGATGTAGAATCGCTAGATCATGTGGTAATTCTATGTTTAAATTTTTAGGAACTGCCATAGTTTCCATAGCAGCTGCACCATTTGACATACCCACCACAGTGCACAAAGGTTCCAGTTGCTCCACATGCTTGCTCACACTTGGTTTTTTTTCTCTCCTGGGTTTGGTTTTGTTGTTGTCGTTTCTTTTTTAAAGCAGCCATCCCAGTGGGTGTTGGGTAATATCTCATTGTGATTTGCATTTCCCTAAAGATTAGTGACGTGGAACATCTTTTCATGTGTTTAATGGCCACTTGTATACCTCCTTTGGAGAGCTGTCCTTTGCCCATTTTTAATTAGGTTCTGTGTTTTTTGTTATTGTTGAGTATAAACTTTTTTTGTGCCCAGGATACAGCGGCCCCTACCCTTCACCCCTGCTGGTAGTAACGCCACCACCACCGACTCATTTGTACAAGTCCTTTCATCCCCCCTCACACTATGAAGTGTGTATACGGATTTTCCCCCTTTGAATCTCACAGCAGCCTTTTGAGAAATACATTGTGATCATCTCCATTTTGCGCGGGAAGCAACCACAGTGCAGAGGCCTTGCTGCTCGTATCTCCGCTGGCCAGCTGACATGGGCGTGGCCCTGATCGGCCTGGGTCCGCAGAGGACAGCTCGAAATTCCTCGCCCCACCCGAGGAGCTGACGTTGAACTGGCACAGACATTTGAGAGAAGTGATTTTACAGGAAACCACCCAGGTCGCGGGACCTTGGTTCCTCCAGAAAATCTTCTCACCTTCAATGCAGAGGATCACCTTCTGAAGTCCCACAGGTTTGCATCTGAAAGCAAACACAGAAATGTGTGGCATTTTAAGTGCTAAGCCCTCAGCTGCTCCAAAGCTTTCTAAATGGAGTGATGTGACATGTTCACCAAGGACCCGAGTCCCTACCTAAATCTGGTTCATTGGAGGATGCAGTATTGTTTTCAGGGTCCAGTCTTTCCCCACTTGCAAGTAAGTTAACAGCTTTGTGATCCTCGGGCCTCTTTTATCTGAGACACACCACATCGTCCGCTTGCTGTCCGTCCGGATTTGGAGGTGATGAGGGCAGAGTGAAAGCAGGGGACCATTCTCTGTTCCTTTTATGTTGGGTTTGATCTGGCCTTCGGTTCACACAGCTGGGGCCGGGGCTGGGGCCAGAACCCTGACTTAGGGCTGGGAAGAAGTTGGCGGAACATTCCCCAGCAGGGCTTGGGCAGGCCCAGGGAGTCCCGCCTAAAATACAGCGGACAAAGGCGCTCTTGTCCACGGGCCTGGGGGTGGGAGGCATCTGGTCAGTGACACAGGCTTGGCCATTGTATGTCGTGACCTCAGCCAACTTTTTTTAGCTGAGAAAGGGGAAAAAGAGAGAAAGTGTTTTAAAAAAGAGAGAGAGAAAGAAAGCCTCGAGAAACGTTGCATCTGGAAAGTCCAGAGTGCGTTGCTGATTTCCCCATGAGAGCGGGAGCAGCTTGGAAGGAACTGTGCAATGTAGTGGCTTCTTTGTGAAAGAGCAGCAGAGAGAAAAGCCACAGGAACATCCTCCAGGGTGCCCAGAGCACTGACTCTGGGGTAGCTGCTTGCCTCAGCCTCATTTCCCGCAGAGGGTGCCACGTGGAGGAAGCTGGCGGGGGCCCAGCCCTGAGTCTGGGGACTTCAGACAGGACCTGAGTCTCTCTTCCGAGTTAGCAACCCCAAAGAAGATTAGCTGACCCCCGATGGTAAGAATCCATGCCGCCCACCTGCAGCTGTGTGTGGCCAGCTTGCTTTCCTTCTGTGTGTTTCTAAAATGACTTTGGCGTTTGAACCTTCGGAGATTGGGGCTCTCGCTGTGAAGCTGCGAAGCTGAGAGGGCAGAGGCCCCGTGTCGGGAGGCGCCTTTCGCGGGCCCAGGGGCATGAACAGGGAGAACGGAATACCGGGCCGTTGTGTGAGAAATCAGGAGAAGAGGGAGGGAGGAGGGAACAGGTTTAAAAAGGGGTGTTTGTGGTGGGGAAGAGAGTCTTGGCTCCCCAGTGACCCAAGAAGCAGGATGGTGACTTAGATTTCTGTTGTGGGGACTGGAGTCCATAGATTGCCGCCCCCGTTTAACTTTTCCAAAATCTGAAGCTGGGCTTATGGCTACACACCCACCTACCTTCTTCCACCCCATGGCCCAGTTCTAGGTGGGACAGTACAGGCTGAAAGCCCATTAGGGCACATAGCTCCCCAGAAGGTATGAGAATCTGCCTAGTAAACCCAGTATCTGCACAAAGGTTCAGGATGGGCTGCACGCTTCTGTCCAGTTTGGTGGTGGCGGCAGTGGCCGGAATGAAAATAATGGACGTTCTCCTGAGACTCAGGGGTAGAATAGCCTTATTTCGCCAACCTTTCTGCCCCTCCGAGGTAGCGCCCTCCCCTTCTTGGGAAAGAGGGCCCTCCCATCAGCCTAGACTTCAGCGACTGCTCTCTGGGGGCTCTGGACAGCTGAGGCAGGTCCAGCTTTGATGGAAAGGCGAGTTTGTGTTTGTACACACCTTCCTCCAGGACGCAGCCTCCCACTGACCGGGGTAGGTGGGACCTCTGACTTGGGCCTGGCTACGCCTGCCCCTGGGCCAGGGGATGAGCAATGGTGCTCGTTACCCAGGAGCAGCCTCCGGTGGGTCAGCTGACTTCCTAGGAAAGGTCTCTGCGGGCCTTCTTAAAGGTCAGGGTGCACCTGAATTGCCTGTAGGGCAGGCCTGGGACCCTGCATTTCTAACAGCTCCTAGACGACACCCATGCTGCCAATTCAGGCACTGCACTTGGAGAGGCTGCAGTGAAGATCCCAGAGCGCTCCATCACACGCGGACAGGACCTGGTTGCAGAGGGCTGGGGATTGGGGCGCGTCCGTCCGGAGGTTGATGGGGAAGAAGGGATTAACCCAGAAGTGGAGCACTGGGGGCTTTCAGGGAGCAGGAAAGGGTCCTTGGCCAAGCCCTTGGCAGGGTGGTTGGTGAGGTGGACCCTGAGGCGCGTGCGTCATGGGCCGTCGGCGGGGTGCGCCCATGCTTAAGGGGACTGTGTGTTCAGGGTGCGGGGTGAGTGATGAACAGAAGGGCCAACCTCTAGCAGGCCCAGGGCCATTCCCCTGGTGCCTGCCTTTGGCGTGGGGTGAGTTCTAACTTCAGATGTAGGGAAGCCCCGGATGCTAGGGTAGAAACCTGATTGCTAGGCAACTAGAGCTCCACCGCGTGGGGCTCTGGGGGAGAGGCAGGCAGACGCAGGCCCCCTGGGACAGGAGAAGCCAGCACAGCTCACCACGGTGAAAAGGGGAAGCACAGGACCCCTTGGTGGCTGGGGGCGGGCAGGATCCAGGAATTTGGGGCCTGGGCAGTGCTCCAGGGAGAGTCTGATGCCTCTGAATCTCGTGTCTGCACCTGAATGTGACTTTGCCTGGAGACCATCTGGTCCAACTTCCGTATTTTCAAGATGAGGAAATTGAAGCCAACCGGCAGAAATGAAGTGGGTTGCTCAAGATCTCCCGGCAAGACAGCGGCAGCTCAGGCCTGGCACTGGGGCCTCCCAGTTCACATCCTGTGCCCACAGAGCAGTGGTAGGTCCCGGACCTCGATAGCTCCCACCTGTGTCTAGTTTTCTATGCACCAGAGCAGATGCTTCAGGATTGTCGGCCACGTTGGTTTGCTAGGAATTGTGCTGACTCGCCAAAAGGGTTCCAGCCCCCGTTAGCCTCCACCTCCCGCCGGTTAGGACACGCAGGAGACCGGGTCTCGCGTCGGAAGTCTGTGATTGGAATCACCTGGAGCACAGGCATTAGCACTGCACAGGGGCTGCATTGAGTCTCTATGACGAGAGGACTTGCTGCCGTGGTTTTCATTTGGTGCCTGCGTCTTACAACCAGCAAACAACAAAGCTGGACCAGCTGTATCGCAGGCAGGCAGCAGAGGCACCCACCTGCGCGGGCCGCTGCCGCTGATCTCTGGTCTCTGGTCTCTGAAAGGGCCCCAGCTCCCCGAGGAAGCCTGCTCTTGCCCCCAGGGCGTCTGTGAGCAGCAGCTGCTCGCTTGCCCTTGAAGTTCCTGGCAGGCTGCCTTGCGAGAGGTACGCACCTATGACCTTTGACGGCCTGAGCTAGCAACTTTCAACTCCCTCTTCACTTCACCACTTGGCCTGTTTTGAATGAAACAGAATGCTTGATAGATTTGCTTACTTGGCTTCCTTCAGAGGCATAACAGCTTTAGAAAGTGGGTGGAGGGATTAAGCGAAAAGGAAAAAAGACTCATGGACATGGACAACAGTGTGGTGATTGCTGGAGAGGGGCAGGGTCTAAGGGGTCTAAATAGTAATGAAAAAAAATACAATAAAGATGTTTTTAAAAAGTGCCAGGAACAATGGCATGGGGCATTGTGGGGTTTTGCACTTTGATACTAAAAGAAGGCTGGGGAGGGGGCTTCACTAGTATTTCTTTTTCTCCTTTAGCCCCCTCCCAAAACCAAGTGTTGGCAAAACTCTTGTTCTCAGGCTTTTTGTTCTGCAAAGGAAATTTTCCAGGATTCATCTGGGGAGTCCCTCACCCTATGCAGAGCTTCCTAGGGAGGTGACCTGTTGTCGGTGACTGAACCTCAAAAGGTCCTTCAGAAGCATCTTCTAAGGCATCTTCTAGCGATAAAAACTAGTAGAGAAAATCTACAATGTATTTTGAGATCCTTTAGGATGATAGAAAGTACTAAACTCAAGCTCCGTTTCTTTCTATGAAAGATAGGGGCATTTCAGCCCTGTAGAGGCCAGAACACTGGCTTGTGGCAAAGAGGGGGTCTGGGGGTCACTGCCCACACTTTAGTGCCCTTGTTTGGGCATATATATGATGTTTTCCAGTTGTTGTGAAATCACTTCACTGGCATCTCAGACAGCACGTCTTTCCCTCCAGCTGAGTCGGACTTGGCTGACTATATGAAACTATATATCTAGACCTGAAGAGTTTGAGACCTCTTCCTCTTTAGAACCCAAAAATGTTTGGGGGTAACATGCCACAAAAAACAAAGTGATGTTTCACAAACATTTACATCCCTGTCATGAGGCCTTTGTCATCTCTTTGGCTTACGTGGCTGCTGCTTCTATCAGCCTGCGCTGGTCACTTAAGTGCCGCGGAATTTCCCTTGTGGTTGAAATACGCTCCTCAGGTAGCGGAACCCCGTGTTTGAGGTCTGGCATCCCCTGGGTTCGCAGATGAGGAAGCAGAGGCCCCAAGAGGCAGTGGGACTCTCTCAATTGCAGCTTGTTGTCTGGGGACACAGTGTCTTTATGCCTAGGCCTGTATGCTGCCTGGTGGTGCTCCCGTGGTCCCGAGGTGAAGGTAGAATAACTGAGGGGCCCGTGCAATTTTTATCTGCTGGGGAAGGGGGAGGAGGAAAGGGACTACTTTCTTCAACAGTCTGCCAGGAAGTTAAGCATTTGAATAAAATGTCTCTTAATCCCAAGCTGGCGAACAGAACCTACGGGCTTTTCTGCTCAGACGTGGGAACAGGCGCACCAGCCTGCCCTTTGTAGCTGTGGAGCATCAGGATCAGATGGACCTCAGAGTTGGGGCACAGCTCAGGGGCTTTCTCTGGGGTTCCCCAAGCCCTCCAGACACCCAGGGGAAGACGCAGCCGCCGCTTCCCATATTCCAGGAGCACCTGCGGGAACCCCCTTCCCCTGAGTAGCCCCAAACACAGCCATGAAACCTCCGGGCATCTGCTCCAAACCTCGGGAAGTGGCAGGAGTGACCGTGATATTTGGTGGCACAGTTCTGCTGAGATTCTCCGAAGAGGTGCTAGAGAGCGGGTGTCTCTCAGATCCCGGTCATGCTGTTTGGTCCTGCTGGGTAGACGTCGCCAGCAAAAGCACCCGCCAGCTCAGATAACAGGACGTTTGCTGATATCCAGAGTCCTTCGTTTCTAACTCTTATCTCCTTTGGAACCTTATTAATTGGCCTTTCTAGCTTGTATCTCTAAGGCGGGTGCAACTATAATAAAAGTCTCTTCCCTCCAGTGTCAGTGAATTAAGGGGTCACACAGGAAGGCACGGGCAGCTGTCTTGGAAGCCCCTTCCTACTGATCGAGCCCTTCTGACCCCCTGCTTTATGACCCCTGACTCTTCAGGGGGTTATACGAAACAGCTTCCGAACCAAGAGAAGCTGCTCACCTCATCCTCGCAGAACTCTTCACCGGTCCTTGCCCCACTGCAGACCCCACGTTCTCCAGCTTAGCAAGTGTTCCCTGTGAGGGTTGACTTCCTGTACCCTTGCATGGGCTACCCTGTAATTGCGTTCATCAAAATTCCTGGGCAGCCAGATCATTCCTTTTTAGGGTCAGAAAATAGAGTCGATTGTTCTGTGTCCTCTCCCTGCCCAGCCTGATAAACAGGCCTCGTGAGCTGGTTGGCTTGCAGACGGCTGTTTAGGGTGGCGGGACCCTCCCTGAGTCTTCAGGAGCTCGACACGTCTGCAGCGCTCGAAGGGGTTCGGCCTTCAGGCCACGGCTGGCAGCCTTGTGGGTGCTGGGAGGAAAGTCCCCCGGCACTGACGTCCGCGTCTTGTCATGGCGCCAGGGACATCACAGTGTAAAGCTCCCTCTAGCAGCTCCACGGACAGAGGACAGTGATGGGGTGGGTGAGGCTGCGGGGGAAGCCGGCTGATGCCGGCAAGGAGGAGCGTGGCCGATGCTCCCTGGGGACTGGAGCTGAGGCGCCCAGCGAGTCCTCC